TTTCGTTGCCGGTGATCTTGAGTTCCAGGCGCTCTTGAATGTACTTCTGCAATTCGATCTTTTTCTTGGAAGCGCGATTCATTTCCACCAAGAGTTGGTTTTGGATCTTCTGGCCAGGTGAGGTCTCGTCTTTCAGCTCTTGAAACCGCGTCTCGAGCTGAGTCCGAGTCCACTCGGCTGGAGGTTCCTCGCCCATCTCTTTGATGCGCTGTCTCAAGACCTCCTTGGTCATGGATGGCATGGCTACGGACAGGTGGACGGAAGTAGTCAGAAATCCTTGCTTGAGTACTCTGTTTGCCTGAGGTCATGAAACAACTCTCAACCGGATGACACCCTTGGTTCTTCCCTTGGTGGCTCTGCGGTGGTGGTGCAACCAGAGTTGGTTTTTCGTTTTCCTTCTCATGTTCAGGTTTCGGTCCGGATGGTCGAGGGGAATGGTTTCCTATGGGATCGTCATACTTAGCATTACCCCGGTTGTAATCCAACACACTGTCAACCTGACCCTTGGACAATTGGGAATGGCATCGATCTGTGCTAGTGTCGTGTACCCCCCAAGGCTCGCAGTGCGTTCCATTATGCCTCGGAGGGTCATGTCCCTATTCATGGTCGTCGATCAAGCCACCAAAAGGCTTTTCCCTTTGGCGGCTCTGACTGTACACATCAGCGGTGAGTGGAAAAACTTGATGGCCAGTGGATGTCGTCTCCAGCTTCAGCACCTTGTGTGGATCGACCCTTTTCAGCAACATGGTGTTTTGATCGTAATCAATCACTGCTCCCAGTGCCCGGAGCGAGGCAATGCTCAACAGGACTGGTTGATTGGGGATGTCATGCACGTGTACACGCATCGTGCTCATACCTCCATGCAGAGGAACTGGCAGTTGGGCTGTAGAGAGGCACGTTGTTCTTCCATTGTTCCCGAACCGGAAACTGGGTCTTTCTTTGGGGTCGATCTGTATCTCTCTTTGGAGCCCTTGTCCTCTGTTAATGCTGTCAATCCGGGTCATTGCATCCACACTCCCCACAGTGCTTGTTGCGCCGGGATCAATGATGGCCTTCCCAGCTTCCAATAACGAGTTCATTGTCATTGCAGCTAGGGCTTCAAAATCCGCTGATGATTGCTCCGCAGCATCTGGCTCAATCTGGTCACCTGAAGAGGAGGCCGTGAACGTGAAGTGGACTGCTTGGCCAGTAGTGTTTTCGTTCTTTTTGGGACAGGTCTCAGTCTTGTGAGCACCTCCACAGCGGAAACACTTCCGCTCACTTTCTGACCTTTCTGTTTTCCACTTCGTGTAGGTCTCCTTCTTCATGGGGTAGAACTGTCGGCTTTTCCTCATCATTGATTGCTTCTCGCGGGCATCACGAAGGGTGCGTCTTGCCCCTTGGATGGCTGCTAGTGCTTCTTCTGTCTCATGAGTGAGGTAGTTGTACTCTTCAACTTCTTCTTCAGTCATCCATGTCGGTGCTGGCGGTGTATCTTCTTCATGTAGAAAGGCATCGTCTTCTTCTTCTCCGAGCATCAATGCTGACCCTCGGACTTGGTCTCTTTTCCGGAGGTCTTCATCGGTCCAGTTCAGCTTCAATGCTTCCTTGACCCTTTCAGTCGTGAACTCATTCTTGAGACTGGCAATGATGGTGGCCTTTTCTGAGCCATCCAGGCCTGACCTTTGAAGGAGCATCCAAGCCACGACGAAGTCCGGGAGGAATTTCCCTGCCTCCTCTGAGGCCCGGTCTGAGGTTTCGGCTTGGTAGACCATCTCCTTTGTCACACGAGGTTCTGTTTCCCATTTCTCCCATGAACCCCAGGTCCACTCATCATCATTGTTCCAATCGTGCCAGCCTGCATAGTCTCTCCATGGGTCTGGCTCATCCGGGTTCTGAGCGTGTAGATCATCTTCATCCCGCATCAATCCATTCGAATCGAATGGCCCCTGTTCCTGATGCTGGTCGGCATGTTGTGAGCCGTGCTGACTGGATGTACTCTTGGATGGCCTTGGTTTGCTCGCGGAGGTCTTAATCAGTGAGGTCCTCCGACTGGAATATCCCTGTCCATATTCCTCGATGGCCTCAGCCAATGTCCTCCTTGCTTCAAAGAGAGACTCGTCATGGCGGACGATCCATGCATTCATGCATTCTCCTTTTCTTCTTTTCACCTGGTAGAAGAATCTCGAGATGGACTTTCCAGCTTCAGCCAACGTGGGAGGCTGTACCTTGGTTTTCAAGAAGGTGAGCAGTTCTTCAGCGCCCCGACTATGTGAAATCCACCCTGGTGACTTGTGTTGAACTGCGGTTCGTGCAGCCCCTTCTAACACTGATTGAAGTCTGGGTCCAGCGAGAGGTCTTTTCTTCCATTCCAGTGTCTCCACGTAGTTGAGAGCAGCTCTTTTGTAAGCAACAAAAAGTTCCGCTGTTCCATCGTAGATGGGAACCCCATCTTTGCTATAGCGAAGTTCGGTCATCACCACCCAGCACAAAGGATCTCCTCCTCAATGTCCTGGATCTAAATCGGCCCGGCCCAATTCACGGAGGGGCCGGGCTCCGCTACCATGCGAAGCAACAAGGCGCAGCGACCCGCAAGGCTATTTTCAAAGCT